GTCCGTTGTGCCACCAGCTTGAAGCAATGTCCGCGTGTAGGCATATCAATGGCCAGTTTGAAATTCCTCTCCGGGATATCACCGTCAACGATCAGTTTGGTCGCCTCTGGAGCGTCGGAATTCGAGGGTAAACAGGCCCAGTGCTCTACAGAGCTCCGGATATGTCAGTCTCCTCCTTTCGGGCATCATTCTTGATCCCAGCCGTTGTACATATTCGATATCGGTCACCTCACCCTTCGTACACGGGAACTAAGCGGACGATCCATACTCCATGATTGGGCGGATGATCGTGACCATATGCTTACGGAATAACTGCATGGACCAGGATGTGAATGTTATTTTGAACACCCGAAGTAGTGCCAGACCCTTGCGTCTCGCCAAAGTTGACTTTTCTCGGGTTTTTAGGTCGTCTTGATTGATAACGCCCAAGTCACGAGTACTCATAACAGTGACCAGTATCATGTTGCCCATTGTATAGGGAGTGTGGTACGGTTTCTCCCAATTATCAGCAACTTTGATTTGTTCACATTGACTGGTATCTTGCTCATCAATGACCATTTGTGGATCCCAGTAAGATCATTTTGAAAAGTCATTATGTCTTCAGGGCTGTGTATAACGCGCCATACCTTGAGGTCATCCGCAAACAGAAGGCAAGGGGACAAAAGTCTTGATGGGATATCCAGCACCAACCCCTGGGGTACGCCACTAGGAGCCTCATACGCAGAGGAACAGCTTTCGCCGACTTTGACCCGGCATTGTGTACCGAACGGGTACCCTTTGATCCATTTGACTACAGCTCTTGGGATGGGCGTATTACTGAGTTTGGTCAGGAGGATCACGTGATCGACGTTGTCAAATGCCTTGCTAAGGTCGATTAAGGCCGCATGTACGGGCAGTCGTTTTTCTTTGGTTTTGCACCAAGCTTCACGTGCTACCATTAGGTTAGTGATGCACGATTTGTCTTTGACAAAAACGTGTTATTCTATCGTCAGGATTGTGGCTGGCCCAGATGAAGTTTTCCAGCACTTTGACAAATACCGAAGTCAGGCTGACTGGTCGGTAGTTCTGGGACAGAAAACGGTCGCCACGTTTGTAGCTTGGAGTCATCAGACTCTGCTTCCAGTCATCTGGTACTGTAGCAGTGGCTAGCGTACAAAGATGCAGTTCTCTGGTGCTCGGTGCGATTATAGAAGCAAGCTCACAGATAACCCTTGGATTCAGAATATCAGGTCCAGCGGCCTTAGCAGGCATCAATCTACTTAGTGCATTCTCAACATCTTCAATGGCAATTATTGTGCCGCTTTCAGTTCGGTCAGGGATGTCGAAGTCTTCACTGTCGGGCGTTGGTGACAAGCAGACAGTAGGGTATTGTTCAGCTAAAAGTTCAGCTATACATAACTCATCTGTTTGGAGCACACCAGCTGTATTGTGGAAACCTTGAATGCCTGGGGTTGCACGACTTTTTCTATTCAGGAATGAATTAAATCGATTGGGTTGGGTGTCAACTTTTTGCACCAGACCTTCTTCGTACGCCACTTTCCTTGACTTCATTATACGCTTACATTCACCTTGGATTGCTTTGTATGTTGCTTTTGCTTCGGCTGTTCTCAAGATCATGAGGGCCTTGTAGGCACGTTTCCTGGCCTCCAACTTGCGTTTTGTCTCGCCATCAATCCATTGGGGTCGACATGCTGCCCATTCACAGAGCTTCACGGGGACAAAATCGGTACAGAGCCGCTAAATATTGCCAAGGATCAAGTTACAGCGTTTTTCTACATTGGCAGGGCTACTCGGTTCCCAGGATAGGTTCATAGCGCTCTGCCTCATTTAGTCATAAGTAGTCTTCTAATATGGCCGTTTTTAGCATCTACGCATTGACAGCGATCCGGTTATGTGGAGTGCTGCCAAAACAGTAGCATGATCACTGGTGCCGAGGGATGCAGAGACCCTCACATCAGATACTTTCGTGTGGCCATTTGTTAATATCCAGTCCAGACAGGAGGCCATACCTGAATCAGTTATCCGCGTAGGCTGGGTAGCGTGCTGTGCGAGATGAGCTTCGTTTACTATTCTAACAATGCGATCTTCGTTTCAGAGGCAGGGCCTTTGGGGATTAGATGAGATCAGTTGATATGTGGGCAAGTAAAGTCACCAGCAATTTGATAAGCGCTTCAGCTCGTCCAAATTATCGGGTAATTTTTTCCCTCATAGTCCTTTAGATAAGGGATGGAGTTCGGATTGTGCTTTGCTTTATAAACATAAGCAAAGAACCTCTTCGAGTTTATTGATATCCCTGTGACTATTTCTGCCTCAAAAGTGGACCGTTCTTTCTTCAGCAGATTTCAATACAGAGTCGTTTTCAGGTTGTGGATAGCTACCACCTCTTATCCAAAGTCCCCTTTCTTCTTGGGGTAACTTTTTATTTCAGGCGTCACATATTCGGGTGAGAGACGCGTGGTCTCATTTTAAGCCGGTAAAATGTTTCTACTCAGTGACAAATCTATTTCCTAAATCGAGCATCACTTGGGTCAGATACGTGAACAGGGTTACAATCTATCCTATTCGGTAGGTTTTTTCATTTTAGAGTAATCCCATTTCCATACATTCCTATCCCTTCCTGTTTGAAGTTCAGATGCAGAAAAACGACAGTACTTCCAAATATGAACGCAACGATCATAGTGGTCCAGGGGCGTGTGAGAACTCAATCAAAGGATGCAGTTGTCCTGCATTCTAAGGATCAGATTCAAACAATTTGCCTTTTGCCCACATTCAAGTTTACGGCGTGTTTGTTACAGTAGATTCATGTTACCTTCGTGATGAATTCATAACCTCCTGTTCTTCCATAGCCTTTGGGGTATGTTTACCAAAGCGATATGAAGGTGCAGTGGGTTAGTCAAGTTTATATTGCGGATTTGTAGCACAATTTCCTTTTTGGTAAGGATCCAACCGGAAAGTTGTCAATGCTATCTCTTACAAACATTACAATTACCCCACACCCAAGTCCACTTTGCTCCAAGTGCATGAGCTGAAATCCGTCAAACCTGACTAATGTGTCTGTTATCTGCTCATTTAACCATAGTTCAGTTAGGGCCATATGATAATGTTGCAAATAGGTCACAGACACTTTGGTGTCATCCACAATAAAGAACCTTCACTGCATATTTTTGATCATCGTTGCCAAATAGCTTTTTTCTCTCGATACCTGAAAATGCTTTTGTTGTTTTTTTGCGTCTGAATTTTTTACTGACGTATTGATTCCTCTGTGTGCGTTCAAATATACAAGTATTTGGAAGGCTGCTGACCGGTGTTCTTACTTTTTATTGATCGAATAATCCCATATAAAGAGCGCCCCGCTTTTAGGATTTAATTGATGACTATTTTCAGGTCTGTTCCCTCTTTCTCAGACGTCTTTCCAATTCTGTTACCAGTGCTTTCATTTTAATCCGATCGGTGAGAAGGTAGTGGGCCTAAAAATACTTTAAGCTGGTTATTTCGTAGCCGGGACTCTAGAGACAATATAAGATCTACGTACTGTCTACCTTAGAAGACCACTTTCACCAGTCTTAGTCGAATTGCCTGTGTCCCTTCTAACTAAATGCTCCAATCGGAAGATATTTTGGATTTCGACCATCACAAAGGGTTATTTTGTATCGTTAAGTAAAGTTTTAAATGTCAAAAATGTCCTGTTTTACTCTCAATTTCGAGGTTTCCTCGAGAACCTCAAGGACTCCCTGAACCGCAAGACAAAGTGCACGTTCAGAGAAGGACGTAAGCAGGCGCAAAGTTTATAAAAGGTTCTATTTATTTATGTTCGATTGTACATTCTGCACATTTTGAACACAAATTATCGTTTTCCAGCTTTTCATGCAATCTGCAAACCTGACGAGATTACAGTCAAGATACTTAATGCAGTTATTCATACAGATGGGGACTTAAGATTCAACCCTCAGAAGAATGTAATAAGCCTAGTTTATTAGGAAAACCTGCTCAGGACCAAAAATATCGGGCAGGGATCTACACAGGCGTTCCAAAAGGGTAAACATATTTACTACTCGCTTACTTGCAAATTTTAAGTAGGTTGAATTTTCAAAAATCTCCCTATTTTTCGCACCCCGGCCATTGGTCCAGTAGAGATTGGATGATGAAATTGAAATGTAGAGGGATCCTCAGAAGGTTACCATGTACAATAACCGCTTAAGTCACTTTAAATCACTTTATTAAGGGAAGAAGGCTTTCGCCCTTGAGCTCCCTATTCAT